GTTAGGATGAAACCAATTGAAAGGCTAGGATTAAAAGGAAGGTTAAGGGCCAAGATTAAAAAAAATGAAGGGTTGTGATGGAGTCAAATAAAGGAAAAAGTCCACTTAATTTGCCTAAAAAAAGGGCAATAGGAATTATGGAAAAATGTTGGAAAAGTAGCAAAATGAGGAGAAACTCTTGTAAATGTTCCTTAGAAATTTATTCAAAATTTTACCTAAATACTTCTAAACACCCAAAATCAATTAATTAACCAAGGAATTCAAGCTAGAAGATCAAGAATCATAAAGAGAAAAAATTTGAGTTTAGGCCGAAAATTGGAGCATAAAAAGGGAAGAAGAATTTTCCAAATAATCCAACCTTTCAAAGATAAATTGGAGCTTGTTTGAGTAACTTGATCTCACTTAAACCACAAGGAGTGTCTAATTGATGTTAATTGATGGTTTGGTGTCCTAATTTTATGTTTAATTGCCTTAATTTTGAAAATTAGGGCTAGAGTTCTTAGTTAGGAAAATTTGAGGGAAATGAGTTTAAACTAGAAATTCATGCAATTGAGTTCAAAATAGGTTAATTAGGCTTGAAATTGAGGAATAAAGATAAAAACTTCCTAGGTTTATGAGAGAGAAAAGTTTCGACCCAATTATTGAATTTTAGGGTTTTTGATGCTTTACTTGTTTTAATGATTTATTACTTGATTATATGCTATTTAAGTATGAATCGATAATTTAGTAAAAAAAAATTGCATTAAAATTGAAGAATTTTCATCGAATTCCTTATGAAAGCATTCAACGCAAAATGTTAAACTTTAGGATTTTAATTCCTTAGCTTAATTAATGAACTATTGGTTAATTAGGAGTTGGTTAAGTATGAATTGATGAATGAAAGTGTGAAATTTCATAAAAAATGAAGAATTACACCAAAATTACTTAGGTCCATATTCGACCCAATTAGGAGAAAATTTAGGGTTTAGGTACATTTGACTTCTAATGATTCAACTGATCAATTTAGACTTAGAATAATGTAATGAGATGAATTATAATAAGAAATCACATTGAAGTTGAAAAATTAACTTAAATTTCTTAAGTTAGGGTTTCGACCCATTAAGACCCAATTTAAGGCTAATGCATGTATTCAATTAATGAATGCCTAATTGAGTTAGCTCTTAATATTAATGCATAATTGAATGAAATTGTAGAAGAAATTGATGTTGAAATTAGGAGAAAATGTTTGGGCTAGGTTGTGGTTGATATTTGGCCTAGTTTAGCATATTTAGGGTTTATGTCTTGGTTTGTGTAATTCAATTATAATTTGGTTCCTTGAATGCCATTTGATGTGTTTAACGTGCATATGATGTGTGAAACTTGTAATGTTAATGGTTATGAAAATGCATGGTTTTATATTGTGTGATGGTGCCATTATTTGGAATGGTTTGGAATAGTTTTAATAAGGTAATGTATATGGTGCATTTTATGTCATTAAATTATGCATGATCATGGCATAAATGCATCTCACTCATGGCATACATTTCATCAAATTATAATGGTTATGCATTTCCAATAAAATGCATATGCATGCCAATTCATGAAAAGGATTCAAAGTTATGAAAAGATTTTCTTTATTGTTTTTCAAAAGCATTGGGAAAATATTTCACGATTCACATAATATTTCATTACCTTTTATGGATTATATGATACATGGTTTTCATGGTCCTTGACATTTTTTTCATCGGCAAGCTAACATTGGTTGAGGCCAAAGTAAATCGTCACGTGGGGCAAGCCCCAATAGAAGAAGATGGCATTTCTCATCGAGGGAATTTATATTAGCCTCGACTGTCTGGGAATTGGTGATGGCCCCATAGGAGAATTGCACAGGAAAGATGGTCAATGTGTACCTTCGAATACTCGATAGGGCGCGTCCAAGCATGGAAAAAAGGTTTTCGAATGATCATGAAAAGGGTTTCCAAAAAGACATGAAAATGATTTTCCTTGTGCATTTCACGTGCTTATGTTTATGTCATGCATAGATTAACTTATTGAACTATCGCTCACCTAGTTTCTTATGGTGTAAGCATTATAGATAATAATGGCAATGTTTACCATTAGGCTGATTATTGAGGGATCCGTGCATCATGTGTATTTTAGATATAGCTTCGGCAATAAAGTGGACCTCCTTCAAGTAACCATTTTCTTAGTGTTCGATATTATAGTTTATGTACCGGGTATGATAGGTTTATTTTATACAATAGATAAAGCTATGAACAAGTAGAACAATAGATGAGAATGTGATGTAAATAAGTAAATAAATCATTTTTGTATTATATGGCATTAAGTTATTTTGTATGTAAATAAACATAGTTGGTATGTAACCCGAACTTCAAACAAAATAGTATTAGTGAAATAACTTAATTATGGCTTGCATTAGTTTCGTTAGTTAGCACTTTATTTGTTAATGCCTTTACTAAAATGTAATCACTAAATACTAAGCAAAATAATAATAATAAATGGTAATTAAGGTGAATAAAGGAGATTAAGTATCTAATAACGAATGATTAATAAATAAATTTCTACAAACTAATAGAAAAGGAATTTATAAAAACCGAGCATCATAGATCCAATTGGTTCGGTTCAAGCAACTTAAATAAAATGATAAAACGCAAAAAATTTATAGTGCATTTTAGATTGAATCATAAGACCTATCCATCATGTATAAGTTTTCGCAAGTGCTTGGCTATACCTAGTAATGTCATAGGAAAAACACATTACCTTATTAACTTGTATTAATTATACATCGCATATAGATTAATGTTGATAATATTCTTGACATACAAAGTCCTAAGTTAGAGGTGTTGCAATATGAAAATCATAAAGTTTTCATATTTTAAAAAATAATGGATATGATAAATTTTTATCTTTATTATTGTGTAGAATTATAATTTTATTCATTCACACCACCTATTTAATATTGCTTCACGTGATATTCCAGAGTCTCAATAAATGTGCTATTAGAAATAGGAGCTCGGGTTGGGAATAGTAGTGTTATATATATATTCTCTTACTTTTAATGCATGACCCAGGGTGCATATCATAGCTATTTTGCACTTCTTACGCAAATTGTACTTCCAGTAAATGTGCACAATTATATATCTTAATGACTGCTAAATTACTAGGAAGAGAATGACAAGTTTTTCCTTTTTCCATACAAGCTTTATAGTTAAAATGATTCACTCAATTCATCCACCGGCAAGAACATAGTTGACTGCTACATGAACTTGCTTTATGACCAGCTGTTTATCCATTGGAGAATACATCTCCCACCAACTAGTGGACCTATAGAATTTTTTGGTGTAATTATTATACTACACATAATTGAGTTCCTGTTAAGACTATTAATTAACACTAAACTTCCTACTCTCATGTAACTTTTTAAAAAAAAAAAAAAAAAACCCTAGTATTAATTAAAAGTTAAGAGGATTGAGAATATTTATTTGGTGAAATTCTAACTAAATTCTTTGTTGCTTTGTACCATTAGACTGGACTGGACTGTTAGAAAAAAAAATGATAATAACCATTGAATGATAAATAAACAGATATTTTCAAATTTTGTGATCATTATAGCACTCATTCATTCATGTCCTTAATTTATTTTTATTTTCTTTTTACTGTCCTACATAAATGGAACAACATACATATTAACAAGTAACAGCAAAAGGGTGCTTAAAATAGCAGACTATATGATTAAAAGTGACACACACATTTGACCTTACCTGCAGTTTAGCTCTCACGTATCAAAGATGGTAAGTATGGTTCATGACCGTGACCTTCTAGCTATTTTAATTCTTACCAAGTTAATTCCATAGTCAGAGAGCACCATCAACAGCTCCTAAGGAAACCCTGGCCAGTTCAACATTCAACAGGGCCATAACTGTCATTCCATGGCAGAAACATAATCCAAATGACACGTGGCAAAATCCCATTAAACAGGAAGAAACAGACTGGAAGCAGATCGGCAGTTGCAAGGCCTCCCGAACTATTTAGGTCTGTCTATGTCTATCTAGGGTGGGAGAAAAGTCCTCTTCTTTAACCTTTCCCTCTCTGACATTCCACCTCTGCAAGAATATATATTTTTTATTTTTCATTTATAACCAGCTGATCTCTGCAAGTTCCCATATTGTCCTAGTGGTGCTTTTGACAAAAACCCTCCTGTTTTTTCAACTGCCCAACTTCTTGCTTTATATATATATATATATACACACACACACACATGTATAGACAAAAACCAAATTAAAGATTTTTTTTTCTTTCATTTGCCTGTATAAATACATGAGCATTCAATCTCTATCTCCTGTTTAAACCCCAGATAACATATTACCTTGGAATCTTCTTTCATGGCTGGTTTTTAAGGTACTGAATTTATCAATGTTGTCTTGTTTTTCGTTTTTCTTTTTTGGCTTTTATGTTGTGTCTGTTATTGGATCAGTTTGAGAGGTCAACTGACAGAAAAACAAAAAATTGAAGTTTTATTTTTTGTTCATTGATTATATGTTGTGTCAGTTATATAATCTGTGGGGTTGTGTTGTTTTCTTGGTTTGTATCGATTTTTTGTTATTAGCGTGTTTTGTTATTGATGGGTTTATATTGAGTTTTGGAAACATTTCTGAAAAGATCTAATCAAGGAACTTTTTAAATTTTTTGTTGTTGTGGCATACATGGATGGTTTGATGGGCTGTTTAACCCAGAAATTAAAGAAATGAATTTTTTATGTTATCATTATTGCTGTTTTTTTTGGCTTTGGTTTTAGTTGACTTTGTTGTCTTATATAAGCTACATGTGTATTGGTTGGTGCAGTTTGTTTGTAATTAAATAGTTTGCATAAATATATGATTTTCTGGTTTGGATCTACAGTGCCAATTGTTTGATATAGCATGCCTTTTCTGTTTTGTGAAAAAGTTTCTTGCAGTTGATTTATTGGAACTCGGTGTTTTCCTTGATTTTGGTGAATAAATATGCCTGGAATTGTTATGGATGGAATTAATGAGGAAGGTGTAGTGAATGAAATGAATGGAAACTCAGTGTTGATCAAGGAAAATTCTGTGCCTAATAAGTCCCCGAGGAGTACTTCGAGTCCGCACAGCCCTCGCAGTGCTGGCCTGGATCCTCCTGTTGATGGAGTTGTTGTTCATGGTGTGGCTGTTGATGAGGTGGTTGTTGATGGGATGGTTGACACCTCCATTGATCAGCTTTATGAGAATGTGTGTGATATGCAGAGTTCTGATCGATCCCCCTCAAGGCATAGCTTTGGATCTGATGGTGAAGAGTCTAGGATTGATTCAGAGTTGCGCCATCTGGTAGGAGGAGAGATGAGAGAGGTTGAGATCATAGAAGAGGAAGAGGTGGATAAGCCAGAGCATGACACTCATAGCAACTCTTCTTCTAAGAAGGGAAGTTCATCAGGAAGCAAGAAGTCGGGGAAACTGGACAAGATCAAATCTGCAAGCACCAAGTCTGCTTCTTCAAGCCCCTCCAAGAAGCAATTGTACTCAGAAGCATCATCAAAGTTGAGTCCTAAGGAAAAAAGTCCAGATAAACCCCCTATTGATAAACGGAATGATAGGAATTTGAAAAAAGGAAATGTGGGAATCAGATTAATGAAGAAACGGAGGAATTCTCCACTGGGCGGTGTGAATGTATCGAATGGAACCAAGGATGAATCGGCGTTAGATAATCCAGATCTTGGACGGTTTTTGCTAAAGCAAGCAAGGGATTTGGTTTCTTCAGGGGATAATCCCCAGAAAGCTCTTGAATTAGCTCTTCGAGCAGCTAAATCATTTGAAATGTGTGCAAATGGTAAGCCCAGTTTAGAATTGGTCATGTGTTTGCATGTCACAGCAGCGATACACTGCAGCCTAGGCCAGTATAGCGAGGCCATTCCCATCCTTGAGCATTCAATTGAGATTCCGGTGCCTGAGGAAGGCCAAGAGCATGCCCTAGCCAAGTTTGCTGGTTATATGCAGTTAGGTGATACTTATGCTATGCTGGGCCAGCTTGAGAATTCAACAAATTGCTACTCGACAGGAGTGGAAGTGCAGAAAGAAGTTCTGGGAGAAACTGACCCTAGAGTCGGCGAGACTTGTAGATATTTGGCTGAGGCTCATGTTCAAGCATTGCAGTTTGATGATGCTCAGAGGGTTTGTCAAATGGCTCTAGACATTCACAGAGAGAACGGTTCTCCTGCTTCTCTTGAAGAGGCAGTAGATCGACGGCTTATGGGTCTTATATGTGAAACAAAGGGAGATCACGAGGCTGCTCTTGAGCATCTTGTGTTAGCCAGTATGGCCATGGTGGCGAATGGCCAGGAAGCTGAAGTTGCCTCTATTGATTGTAGCATTGGAGATGCATACTTATCTTTGTCCAGGTATGACGAGGCTATTTTTGCTTATCAAAAAGCACTCACAGCTTTTAAGACAACAAAAGGAGAGAATCATCCATCTGTTGCTTCAGTGTTCGTTCGTTTGGCTGATTTATATAACAAAACTGGGAAATTGAGGGACTCTAACTCATATTGTGAGAATGCCCTTAGGATTTATGAAAAGCCCCTTCCAGGGATCCCCCCGAAGAGATCGCTAGTGGTCTAACCGATGTTTCTGCTATCTATGAATCAATGAATGAGCTTGATCAGGCAATCAAATTGCTCGAAAAGGCATTAAAGATATATAACGATGCCCCTGGTCACCAAAGCACTATTGCTGGAATCGAAGCCCAGATCGGGGTCATGTGCTACATGCTGGGAAATTATTCTGAATCTTACAACTCCTTCAAAAATGCAATTTCAAAGCTCCGCGCAAGTGGAGAGAAGAAATCTGCTTTCTTTGGCATTGCTCTTAACCAAATGGGTCTCTCCTGCGTTCAGCGTTATGCTATAAATGAGGCTGCTGAATTGTTTGAGGAAGCGAAGATTGTTTTGGAACAAGAGTGTGGACCATATCACCCTGACACTCTTGGGGTATATAGCAATCTTGCTGGCACTTATGATGCAATGGGCAGGTGAGCACCCTTTACCATTTCTTGTGTCTCTTGTCCTCATTTGCATCTGTCAAAACTTTATTTCCATTTTGCTCAATGCACTGTAAGTTGTTTATGTTGCTCGTCTCACAAAGTGATGTTAGGTAGTATAGTGTTACCCAATGGCTGTGATTTTTTTCCCTTCGCTTGGAACTTTGTACCAAAAGAAATATCATTGTTGTAAGTCTTGGATTTTTGTGTATGCGTGTTTTTCTTCTGCACAAATAGTTTTAAATAACTCCCGTTACGTTACATAACGGTTTCGAAGCATCCTGTTACCGTTATTTTAGTATTATAGTAAACCGCAATCCGCGATCCGTTATTTAAAACTATGCGTTTAACACAGGTTGGATGATGCAATTGAAATCTTGGAGTATGTCGTTGGGATGAGGGAAGAAAAGCTTGGGACAGCAAATCCAGATGTTGTTGATGAGAAACAAAGGTTGGCTGAGTTGTTGAAAGAAGCAGGCAGAGTTCGGAGCAGAAAAGCTAGGTCACTGGAGAACCTCCTTGATGGCAAGTCTCACGATATAAACAAAGATGGCATTACGGTATCATAAAGATGTTGCATGTATAGCTGTTTTTTATTTTTTTAAACTGAACATAATGTATTACAGGAGTTAATTTAAGAAGAAAAGAAAAGGAGAAAGGAATAGGTGATTGGTGGTCTCATAGATTCTTGTTTTGAAACAACTGCAGTCATGGATTTGGTTGTCCTATTGATATTCATTTTCATATTTATTGAAGTTTAAATTTTAATATCTCTCTGTTTATTACCATTGTAAATCATTGGTGACATCAGTGTTTCTCCCTCGCACATAATGATCAAGAAACTAGGGATTCATTTGTAGTGTAATGGGAAGAAGAATTTTGTGATTGGATATTTACCATTTGAAAGTAGTACGTTATCATTTGGAGCATCAGTTGTTGTCTCTAATATTATTATTAATCTCACTTAGCATACAAAGTGGCATCCATCATAATCAAGAAGAAGAGGATAGCTTTAACCTAGTTTCTTCTTTTTGTTATTTAGTAGATGATGACCCATCATGATGCCTACTGCATACTGATAGCAATTTAATAGCCTCTCTGCCAAGTTAAGTGCTGATTTTAGCTTCCATTAACTATAATTGTGGGGGTCCCAATCCCAAATGCTTTCCTATCATTCACGTAACTTGCGACGTGGCTGCTTGTGGACAGCTATATCAGTTCTGGTTCATAAGTGTCTTTTTAAGGACCTCTAGGGCAATTAATCTCCTGATATGTCTTCTTTGTCTAACCTTCGCAGCTTTGGCTGCATGGTTTATGGTAGTTTGAGGTTATCTCAAAAGAAGGGAGAAGGGGATAGTTTGAGATTATTTACGCCTATAGCTAATAAATTATTGCAGGATCGAATTGGTGGTCTACAACCGAAAGCATTCATGTGTGCAACCATATTGCCTAACTGTGCATGTCCTGCATCTTCACTTGGGGAAAAGATAAGGAGACCTTCTTTTATGAAGGTTGTTTGAGTAGATTTTTCATTTTTAAAGACTTGTGTTTTGTTAAAGCATTTGACATAGAATTCTGGTAAGAAACAGTGATGAGTCGTGGTGCTCTATCTGCATATAAAAAAGAAGAAGGTAATTTGACCCAGCATTGGCGAGTAGTACTGCATTTTCGTTATTTTGTACCTTGCTTTTAGGTATACATCGAAATAAATAATCAGTAGATGACAGCTTTAGGGTAGCATCGCCAAACTTGCATTCCAGCATCAGACTGAAAATTACAAGATTCCGCTATTATAAAATGCTCTTTATGGCTTATGCTCTTTTGGTCGAGCAAAAAAAAAATAATAAATAAAAAATACAAGCTTGCAGTAGGAATTTTCTCTAGAGAACGGTCTCCCAATAATCATCATGTCAGAAGCAGGAACAGCTTGGAATTAAGAGATGCGTTTTGGATATTTTATTTTGATTTCCTTTAATTTTAATTTAAACTGAAAAAAGGAAGTGAAATTTACTGGATTGATGTACTAATAGAAAGCCCGTTGAGAGGGGGAAAGAAAAAAAAAAAAACCTCGTGCTTACGGAGGATTGGTCTAACATCTTGAGCTTTGCACGGTATTGGTCTCTCATGGATGCAAGCAGGTTGTCCATAAGTTTTCTGACTTCTCCCGAGGCATGGTACTGCACCACGGTGTTTGACCTCTTAAAGTCCCGCTAGGAATGAGCTTAGTTTTTCGGTTTTAATTTTTAATATTTTAGTTTCGTTTTTTTAATCGAATTCATCAAAATAAAAATGGAATCCAATCCAAACCAAATTACTATTTAATTTTTGAAACCAAAATTAATTTTCAGGTTCAGTTTTTCGATTAGTTTTTTGAAACCAAAAAATAATACAAGCTTGTAGTAAGAATTTTCTCCAGAGAACCGACTCCCCAAAATCATCATGTGAAGCAGAAACAGCTTGGAATTTGTTATAACTCAATTTCAGACCCCTTTATTTTACATATTTAAAAAAAATAACGAAAATGTAAAAAAAATTAATTAAATGTATTGTGTTTAATTTGCTTAATTGTGCATTTTTATCCTACAATTAGGATTTTTTAGAAATTCCATGATTTTAGAGAGTTTAGAAAAATTAACAAAATAAGAGAAGAAAATAAGAGAAATAACCAAAAGCGAGAAAAAGAGAGAAGAAAATCAAAAAAAGAAAGAAGGAAGAAGAAAATAGGTGAAAATTGAAAATTTTAGATCCAATTAATTAAATGTGAGAAATTGGATAAAAAAATAATTGAATTAGGTGTTCAACTAAAAAAAATATACCAATTAAAAATATGAAGAAAGAAAGAAGGAAGGAAGGAGTAAGGTGCAAAATATGAAAAGAATGAAAAAAGACTCGTCAAAATTCTCTAAACCCTAACTAACCCTTACAATAAAAACCTTTTTTCCTCTCTCTTTTATGGAGAGGCTATTGATTCATCTTCTTCTCCAACACGAAACCTAGTAAGAGAAAGCTCTCACTCTATCATTCCATCAAGACGATAGAGTCTCCATAGCTAAAAAAAACAAAGCTCATAACTTCCATATTTTCTCCTACGAAGTGGTCGCCCCTTTTCTACTTCTCCATCTTTTATCGCCCAACACCTCCATCTCCTTCTTCATTGAAGCTACCATTTTCTAGATCTAAAACGATTTCAAAATAGCCCCTAAAATTTCCTCAAGATAGCCATAGAAACCCTTAACAAAATGGCTCAAAACCTCCTCCAAAGTCATCGATCAAAGCTCTCCTACTCTCCTCTAAAAAACCCACCAACTACTATCCATTTTCCAGCCATCTTCCTCCAACTTCCAATCCCCAATCAACCCTCACAAACCTCCCTTAAACCCATCACAAAAAACCCCCTCAAACCCACCATGAAACCTGCTAAAACTCGTTATGAAACCTCCCTAAAACACTATCCAAATCTATCATGACAACAACTCCTCCTCGCCGGTGTTGCCGTCACCGATAGAGCCTCTATTTTGCTTCATAATGACTAGTTATAACTCCTATATCTATAAGAAATGTTTGGCAGTAGGTTAGCTCTCCTCTAGTAGTGTTTTCTAGCAACAAAACTCTTAAAATCTGATTAAAAATTACCTCAAACCAAACCCTTATTTCCAATACTTACAGATTAATATTCGGAGGAAGATTGAGAAATTTTACCTTCTCGGAGGTTTAGAACAGAAAAAAGATTTTTGAGGTTTGAAGTAGACATATTAAGCTTTCAATATTGAGTAAAAATGCAAAAATCCATTATGTTTTGGTTTGTCAAAGTTAGGTACAAAGTTAAATCGAAATTCAAATAGTGTAAAAATTCGAACACTACCTAGTATTTGGCCTATATCTAGAGTTATACATATATGGATTGTGATGATTCAAAATTATCTAGAAATAAGAAATCCAAAACTATAACTTTTATGGTATCTCAAGATCAAAAGAAGCCTCTTCTCGCTTCTAAATTAGTTTAAAAGATACTATCATGGATAATAGCACCAAACAACCCCATCCGACTACAACAACTCCTTCTAGCTATGGACAATGACTCCTCTATGGAAATTCACTTTCTTATAGATACATATAGTAGCTCCTCATATTTTTAACCTAAAAAAATAGTTTTACAATGATCCATTTCTCGACCAACTTTCCTTCTTCGGTTGACAATACAAATTGCCTTCATTGAAGATTAAAGAAAATGGTCGAGGCAAGCGAAGGAGGAATCACAATTTAATTTGTCTAATCTTTCCTCTATTTGATTAACAATAAAAATTTTATCCATCAAAGAGCTGAAAATGGGTTAAATTCATCGTCGATCTAAAAGGCTCTTTCGATGCACTTTGGAAAACTCTTTGATTGCTTTGGCCAATAAGGTAAGCTCTCGACATCATTGTCTCGTATTTATAATTGTACTACATTTAAATACATTTGGATTGAAATTATAAATGGATGTGATATTGTGATATATATATATATATATATATATATATATATATATATATATATGAGATTTGAAGTGTGTTCGGATACATCATTATGTATTGAACCCGAAAGGATTGGAGACCCTACATATATTGAAGAATGATAAGGTTGATGATCAATGCTCTACGATGGAGTTAAGATGATGAGTTTGGGTTTTAATTTCAATGGCTTATTCAAAAGAGTGTCGATCCCGGTGTTCAAATGTAAAAATGATTTTGTATTTATTTTGGATGACATGATTTATCCAACATGTTGATTATGATGTCTTGATTGTGTGATGTTCATGTCTAAAGCATGATGTGAATTACTTGTCGTCCGTTGAACCAAAGATGTCGATGGGTTTCCACTTATATGGATAAAGCTATTGTTGGCTTTCAAATATTTAAATGATTTGTGAATGGACTTGCAGTCGTAAGGGACTCACCATTCTTATTTTATGTGAATGATTTCGAGGACTATAGCCATAAGGGACTCATCATTTTTTTATTTAAACGAGTTGTAAATGGACTACAATCACAAGGGATTTGCCATTTTTATTTTATGTGAATGATTTCTAATATTAGTTGTAGTCATAAAGGACTCGTCTTTTTTTTATTTGAATAATTTTTTATATAAGTCGCAATCATAAGAGACTCGCTATTTTTTATTTTATGTAAATGATTTATGATATGGACTACAATTACAAGAGACATACTATTTTTATTTTATTTGAATGGACTACGAGTCATAAGAGACTTATCATTTTTATTTTATTTAAATGATTTCCGATATGAACTACAAACACAAGGGACTCATCATTTTTATTTTATTGAATGATTTTTTATATGAGCTCCAGTCGTAAAGGACTCATCATTTTTATTTTATTTGAATGATTTTTTATATGGGTTGCAGTTGCAAGAAACTCATCATTTTTATTTTATTTGAATGATTTGTGATATAGGCCGCAATCACAAGAGACTTGCTATTTTTATTTTATTTGAATGATTTTTTATATAGGTCTGCAATCACAAAAGACTTGTCATTTTTATTTTATTTGAATGATTTTTGATATAGATCACGATCACAAGTGACTCGTCATTTTTATTTTATGTAAATGATTTCTAATGTAGATCGTACTCGTAAAAGACTCATGATTTTTATTTTATTTGAATGATTTTTTGTTTTGTGTGAATTAAAGTTATCGGTGGCTTTCCATTTGTATGGACAAAGTCACCGATGATCCCTCCATCTTTCTAATTATGTGAATTGAAGTTATTGCTCACTTTCTATTTATATGGAAAAAGTCATCGGTGGCTTTCCAATTTTGTCAATATGGGCTCCCAATCCCTAAAGACTCATCTATTTGTCAATATAGGGTTAAAGTTACTAAGGATAAGCCAAAATTTCAATCTATATTTCCTGCTACCCTTAGAGTATGGGTATAGGCCTTTGATTGACTTAAATCCCAAATAACTCGATCATTTTATCTCTATAAAATAAATTCACTCAAAAGGCATAGCTTCATAACATAATAAAATCAAATTTTAGTTTTCATATGCATACAATGTAGGTTACCTCAAGAAGGACGAAATGGTGGTGATATTAATTTTTCCATGTATAATTGATGTTTTATCCGGATATTTATGTAGACTACTTTTGTTTAGGGTTTCTTAATTCTTTCGATTGCTAAGTGGCAACTCCACCCATCTATGGGATCTTGTCAACATAATTAATAGATGCATTTTGAATATTTTATTTTGATTTCTTTTAATTTTAATTTGAAGTGAAAAGAAGTCAAATTTACTCGGAAAGTATATTTAATGTAAAAAAAAAAAAAAAGCTCGTGGTTACAAGGATTGATCTAACATCTTATGCTTTAAACGTGATTGGTCTTTTATGGATGCAAGCAAGTTGTCTAGAAGTTTTGACTTCGCCAAGGTATGATAATGGTAGGTACTACACCGAGATTGTCTAAGCTCTTAAGGTCCTACTAGGCATGAGCATTAGTTTCTCAATTTTAATTGTTAAC